CCTCTCTTTAACGCCTTCTGCTCCTGAACCCCGCGTTCGGAATCCAGTCAAATTTGGTATCATTTTGTAGTTCTCGTGGAGTACTACAGTTTGGTTGTTGAATCGAACAGAAATTTCAGATTTGAAGCGAGTTACGGGTCGACTTCTCACCTGTTGTCCAGTGGTCTCAAATCTGCGATCCGAATGATACATACTAAACGAGTTCATGCTCATATTCAGCACTTGCAAGAAATTCCCATCCGCAGCCGTCGAGATCTCAAATTGGACCTGTGGATGCATCTGTCTTAATTTCTCCTGAATCTGCGATGAATACTTGCTACACCCGACGTTTATCTCCTTCAACTGGGTGTCCGCCCAATCGTCATAGTGCTCATTTTGGAATAATAATCGATAAAAATCCTGATAATAGCGTCCACGATGATCGCACGCTCCTCTCATCAGCTTCTTCGCCACGTCGTCGACTCCTTGAATCGCGTACCATCGGGAGCAGAGGATGATGGATACGTAGTGGGTGCACGATTGCTCCTTCCACTTTTGGAATAGCTCTGTTAGAAAGCCTTTGATGCATTTTTCCAGGTACAGGTCGCCTTGGGGATCGAGTTGATTCATTTCCGAGCACATCTGAAAAAGCGGAATTTTCGAGCTATTCTAGACTGATTTAGGCCTTTTCTAGGCTATATTATAGCTAGTTTGGACCAATTTAGGCACTTACTAGGCCCATTTTGCTTTTCTAGGTCATTTCTAGCTATATTAACCACTTAAAACCGCTCAGAAACCTTTAAAAACCCCTAAAAACTCGAAAAAACCATGAAAATCCCGATTTTCCAAAATTTGCTCGGGTGGCCTAGTGGAATTTCGGACATGCGAAATTTCGGAAAATCAACACTAGGGTTCGATTCCACTCGGTGGCAAACTTTTTTTGCTTTTGTTTTGAGCTAGAATTCAGAGGTCCTAAAAGGTTCTAGGCTCATTTTGAGTACTTTTGGGTTACTGTAGTCTACAATATCTACCATATCTCGAGCTACAGTAAAAATCCTAGAGAGATGAAATTTACAGCATTCGACTTGGCGTGTCAAGAGCTTTCCAATGAGTATACTCATGACTAATTTTGAAAATTTTTTGGAATACTGTAGTTTGACCCAAAAATTGAATCTACCGTATCTCGAGCTACAGTAATCCTAGAGGTATGAAATTTTTGGAGCATTCGACTTGGCTTGCCAAGAGCTTTCAAATGAGTAAAATGTCGACTGCCTTTGGAAAACTTCGGAATTTCAAAAAAACTAGGCCACGTCCCTAAAATCTAGGTCACGGCCAAGAAAACCCAAAATCAAGGCCATGACCTATATTTTCCGGCGTGACCTAGTTTTCATGGTCATTGCCTAAACTTTCAATCCTCTTTGTGCTGTTTTGGGGGTGTTTTAAGCAAGTTTCTAGTCGTGGCCTAACTTTCTCAAAAACTCTTCCATGGGTACAACTCCCCGATTTCGAGGGATTTCGCTAGCGAAAAAGGTGTCCAGGGGTAGTTTTTGATGGGGAATTCAAATTTCTAGTTTCGAGTCGATTCTAGGCCACCAAACCTGAATAAATATGAGCACTGTCGATGAGCTGGACCGGAAAACGACGCGAGTCTTGTCAGTAACGAAACCGCTCTTCACCAGCGACCCTTTCCTCCACATATCCGAAATCCGGGTGTTAATATTTAGATGTCGTTTCTGTTCCTCCACATAAGTCATCCTTCCAATCAAACAGCTACGGTATCTGTACATATCCGCACGGCTCATATAAATCTCTCGAAATGTCAGCTGCACATTGTCCAGGGATACGGTTTCCACAGTCTCCTCGATACCAATTACCGTATCGCCGGGTTTAAGATATTCAAAGTGTTTCGAGAGACCGGGAAAGGATCGGCAGATGCTGATTATGCAGCGCTGGAAATTTTTATAGTTTAAAATTTAAAGTTTTACGGCAATTCTAGATCAAAATAATCCCAAAAATCAGTTCTAAAACACTTAAAAACTCCCTAAAAAGTCAAAAAACCACAAAAATCGACATTTTCTAAAAATTTGCTCGGGTGGCCTAGTGGGATTTTGGATATGCAAACTTTCGAAACAACACCAGGGTTCGATTCCACTCGGTGGCAAACTCTTTTTGCTTTAGTTTAGAGCAAGAATTCGGGGTTTCTAGATGGTTCTAGACTCATTTTTAGCATTTTTGGGTTACTCTAGCTTCTCAAACTACCGTATCTCGGGCTACAATAACCCTAGAAAGACGGTAGTCGGAACGTTCGACTTGGCTTGTCACGAGCTTTCAAATGAGTATACTCATGATTACTTTTGAATATTTTTTGGATTACTGTAGTTTGACCCAAAAATTGAATCTACCGTATCTCGAGCTACAGTAATTCTAGAGGTATGAAATTTGGAGCATTCGACTTGACTCGTTGAGCGCTTTCAAATGAGTATACTCATGACTATTTTTGGAAATTTTTTTGGATTACTGTAGTTTTGTTTTTGGGATGTTTTAGGCCATCTTTAGCCTATTCTAGACTAAATAAGCCTGAAAATCAATTTTGAAGCACCTGAAAACCCCTAAAACCGTCGAAAAGCTCCAAAAAGCGAAATTTTTCAAAAATGTGCTTGGGTGGCCTAGTGTTATTTTGGACATGCAAATTTTGGAGAATCAACACCAGGGTTCGATTCCACTCGGTGGTAAACTTTTTTTGCTTTTCTTTTGAGCAAGTTTAGGCTATTTTGAGCCGATTTCAGCGATTTTCAGATAAATCTAGGCTATTTCAGGCTATTTACGCCTAGATTATGCCATTTTAGGCCAATTTCTTGGCTCCAACTCACCCCCATCTCCTTGCCAACAGTTGGTGCTGGTGTACAACACGACACCGTTGATTTCTTGGTCATTTGGCATCCATTATCATAATCATCGGGTAGATCAACACTATCATAGACTCTGGAAGCCCTGGCCGATGAGATCTTTCCAGCACTTCCACCGGCTCCTCCACTCTTTCGATTCGATGAGTTCGTGGAGATGCTCGTCAGGTTAGGAGACGTTTCTGGGACGACGTGGTCGATTCGGAAGGACATTTCGTTGATGGTCCCGTCGGTGTCCTGTTTTCGAAGCGTGATGTAGAAGGGTTTGGCGAAGATGTGACCCGCGTCGTGCTGGAACGAAGAATATGAAGGTTTTAGGACATTTCTAACATAGTGGCCTAATTTTTGCATTTCTAGGCCACCATGTTATATGGACTAGAAATGACCGAACATGCATCTGATGGGCTTTCCAGGCCATCTAACATAGTGGCCTAGAAGAACTCGAATTGCAAAAGTTAGGCCACCATGCTAAAATGGCCTAGGATCCATACCTGACGAATAGGAGGTCTTTTAGACCATTTTATCATGATGGCCTAGAAAACCAAATTTGCAAAAGTTAGGCCACCATGCTAAATGCGCTAGAAAAGATTAACTATTCGTTAGTTATGGGTCCTAGGCCATTTTAGCATGGTGGCCTAGAAAACTCATGTTGAAAAAGTTAGGCCACAATGTTAAAATGACCTAGGATTCATTCCTGAGGAATAGGAGGTCTTTTCTAGCACGTTTAGCATGGTGGCCTAACTTTTACATTTCTAGGCCACCATGTTGAATGGGTTAGAAATGGCCTAACCTTCTCAAGTTGGGTTTTCTGGGCCACCATGATAAAATGACCTAGAAAGCCCATCAGGTGCATGTTAGGTCATTTTTAGGCCACGGCGGCCTAACTTTTGCAATTCTCGGCCACCATGTTATATGTACTAGAAATGGCCTAGCTTTTGCAAGATGATTTTTCTCGGCCATCGTGCTAAATTGCCTGAAAAACCTACCAGGTAAATATTAGGCCACTTCTAGGTTGTTTACCATAGTGGCCTAACTTTCTCAGCATGCTTTTTCTAGGCCACCATACTAAATAGCTTAAAAATGACCTAAAATGCACCTGGTGTGTCTTGTAGACAATCTCCCTAAAAATCCACAACTGGGGAAAGTTAGGCCATCATGTAAAAATGACATAGAAACGGTCTTATATCCGCCTCGTATGATTTCTAGGCCATTTTAACATGGTGGCCTAACTTTTGAAATGCTAGGCCACCGTCGTTTCAAATCACCTAGAAATCGCCTAGTATTCATCTGGTGTATTTTTAGACCATTTTAGCATGGTGGCCTAGAAATCTCAATTTGCAAAAGTTAGGCCACCATGGTAAAATGGCCTTAAAAAGGTCATTTTCTCACCTTTATCACCGCTATGTGCTCCTCGGGTCGTTGACACATCACACTTTTGTTTTTCTGAAAGTTAAGAAGAATCTTTTTTGGGATTTTCAGCCATTTTCCGCTATATTTTCAGCTGTTTTCAGATAAAATCGGCCAAAAATTGTCAAAAATCGATTTTTGGGTTATTTTTAGCCAATTTCAAGAACTTTTAGACAATAAAGCCCCTGAAAATCAGCTCTGGAACCCTTAAAAACCTATAAAATCATCAAAAAACCACGAAAATCGAGATTTTCAAAAATTGTGCTCGGGTGGCCTAGTGGGATTTCGGACAAAATTTTGGAAAATCAACACCAGGGTTCGATTCCACCGGGTGGCAAACTTTTTTTGCTTTTGTTTTAGCAAAAATTCGGGGGTTTTAGAGGGCTCTAAACGCATTTGAAGCATTTTGGATTACTGTAGCTCTACCTGCACCACTAAATCTACCGTGTCTTGGGCTACAGAAATCCTACGTACATGAAATTTTTGAGCATTCGATTTGGCTCGTCAAGAGCTTTCAAATGAGTATGCTCGTGACTATTTTTAAAAATTTATTTGGATTACTGTAGTTTTGGTTTTAGGCTAATTTCAGACCAATTTAGAGGTGTTCTAGACTTAAAAACACCAAAAATCAGCTCTGAAACCCTTAGAATTTTTAAAAATCCCTAAAAACTTCGAAAAATTAACGAAAATCAAGATTTTTCAAAATTTCGCTCGGGTGGCCTAGTGGGATTTTGAACATGAATTTTGGAAAATCAACACCAGGGTTCGATTCCACCGGGTGGCAATTTCTTTTTGCTTTTGTTTTGAGCAATTTTAGGATATTTTAAGCGGATTTTGAGCTATTTAAAATCGATTTCAGGCTATTTCAGGCCGGTTTAGGCCGATTTAGGCCGATTTAGGCCGATTTTCAGCCAAATTTCCAGCCTAAAACCTCACCAATGGAGACGTATCACAAAATGGGCATTTTTCCAGTTGATGCACTTGAACATCAACTCTCCACCATGGCTTCTCAACTACTGTAAACGTTCCGCTGAGTTGCGACGCGACGATTCGTTGAGGGTGTTCAGAAGACGTCGGATTCTGATTCTGAGCACCTCCAGGAGCTCCAGGTGCTCCAGAAGCTTCTGACGTCGTTGGTTTTTGGAATCCAGAGAGGGTGCTCAGATTGGAAGCGGTGCGGACGCGGTTGGCTGATGTGATACGTTCAGAAGTCGTAGGTGCTCCAGATGTTGGCGATGATGGTCCGGCGGCAGTTTGAAAAATGGAAAATCCATTTTGTGGCATTTTGAGAGGAGATCCAAATGGATCTCGGGGGAGCAGCACCCAGGAGGATCTGGAAATAGGGGATTTTTAGAATTTCGGGATTTTAAAAAAATTTGTTGAAAATCGATTTTTGAGCTATTTTTAGCCAATTTTCATTCATTTTCAACCGATTTCAAGCTATTCTAGGCAAGAAAAACCCTGAAAATCAGCTTTAAAACCTTCGAAAACCCCTAAAAACTACAAAAAACCAATAAAATCGAGATTTTCAAAAATTGTGCTCGGGTGGTCTAGTGGGATTTTGGACCTGAATTTTTGGAAAATCAACACCAGGGTTCGATTCCACCGGCTGGCAAACTTTTTTTGCTTTTGTTTAGAGCAAGAATTCGGGGTTTCTAGATGGTTCTAGACTCATTTTGAGCACTTTTTTGGTTACTGTAGTTTAGCCTGCGCAGCTAAAACTACCGTATTTCGTGCTACAGTAATCCTAGAAAAATGAAATTTAGAGCATTCGAGAATTTTCGAAATTTTCAGGATCTGGAAATACTTTTGGAGATTTGAAGATTATTGGGATTCTAAAAATTCAATTTTCAGCATTTCTTGAATTTTTGAAAATTCTGAGAATCTCAGATTTTCAGATTTCGCGGATTTTTGATTTTTTCAAATCTCGAAAAATGGGGGGAAAAACGATTTTTCAGATTTTTGGGATTCTGAGAATCTAAGAATCTGAAAATGTCAAACTACGAATTTCTGAAATTCTCAGAATTTTCAGAATTTCAAATTTTTAGAATTTCAAATTTTTGAAAATTTTCCGATTATTTGGATTATTCAGAATTCCAGAAGTTCAGATTTTTTTGGGAATTCCAGGCCATAAAAATTGGCGGCCTAACTTTCGCAAGTTTGGTTTTCTAGGCCATCATGCTAAAATGGCCTAGAAAACACGTCATTTCTAGGTCATTTTAACATGATGGCCTAGAAAAATCAACTTGCAAAAGTTAGGCCACCATGTAATTTTGAAATGTTTTCGAAAATTTGGATTTTTTCAAAAATTTTAAATTTTTCGGATTTTCGATTTTCAGAATTCCAGAAGCACTTTTTGGAATTTTTCAGATTTTTTAAAATCCCAAAAATCGAAAAAAAAAGGTTTTTTGAGATTTCGAAATGTTCAAAAATTTTCAGATTTTCGGGTTTCACAATTCCAGAATTTCAGCTTTTTTTGGGGAATTTTTGGAGAAATTTCGATCATTTTCTGGATTTTTTGTCCTGAAAATGTTTTTTTTTTGGAGATTCGAAATTTTCAGAATTCCAGATTTTTTGATCTAGAAAATCGAATTTTTTCAAAAGGTTTTTGGGAATTTCGAAAAACCCAAAATTTTCAAAAATTAGGTTAAAATTACATTTTAAAAAATGACATTTTTCAGATTTTTAGAAATTTCCAAAAATTCCAAAAATCGCATTTTTCTGAATTTTTCAGCAAAAAATGATGGGAATTTTCAGACATTTCTAGCTCAAATTTTCAGCGTTTCCAGGGTTTAAAAATATGGAAAAAATGAAAAAAAAATACAAAAATTGATAGATAAAGAAATTGGCGATTTCAAACATTCTTCTTGGAGGAGCTTTTTCCCGAAAAAATCGACAAAAGTAGGAATTATATATATATATATAACTTTTTCTTCTTTTTCTTCTCTTCATCATCATTATCATTTAAAATTCAAATTTTGAATTGGTAATTGATAGAATATAAAAATACAGTAATACAGTAATATGAAAATGAATGGGGGAATTTGGGGATTTTTAGGTCAAAAATTCAGAGGGAAATTTTAAAAATAGGGGATTTTTGGGGATCAAAAAATAGAGAAAAAAGTCAATAAATCAATAAATTACTGTAGAAAAAAGTGGAAAAAATGGAGATCCAAAAAAAGGGGGGTTTAAATATAATATATTTGGACAGAGGTGGGATGGGAAAAATCAGGAAAAATTGCTGAAAAATTGAAATTTTAAAGGGCAAATTTGCTGAAAAATCGCTGATTTTTCCCAGAAAAAAAAATCAATTTTTTAAACCAAAAAATATTGATTTTTGGGTGATTTTTCAGCGATTTTCAGAGCATTTTTTAGTGATTTTTTCATCAAAAAATCTCAATTTTCAGCAATTTTTTCCAGCAAAAAAATTGAGCATCAACAATTATTTAGAGGACATAATCCAGTTCATATCGAACGTATTGATTGGTGGGCGTGTTTTCGATACGTGGATATCCGGCGATCAGTGCGTCGGCTGATCCCAAAATCAGATTGTTGAACACCTTCCAGACGGGCTCACGGACCTTTCTCGCTGGATGCCACAAGGCTTGGAGACAGTATTGCATTACCTGGAAATTTGGAAATTTTAGGATTTTCAGGGATTTTAGGATTCTAAAAAGCTGAAATTTGGCTGAAAATCGACTGAAAATTGACTGAAATTGGCCAAAAATGAGCCAAAATCGACGGAAAATCTGAAAATTTCAAGCTGAAATTTTTGAATTCTTCGAATTTCAAAAATTTGTCGTTTTCTGGAATTTCGAATTTTCAGATATCCAGATTTTTGATATTTCAAGAATCTAGAACTTTCAAACTTGAAGATATCTTCAAGAATCTTATTTCTCTTAAAAATATCTGAAATTCCGAGAATTCAAATATCTGGAAAATCTGAAAATCCGAGATTCCAGAAATTCGAAAATTCGGAAATTTTGAGAATCTGGAAATTGGAAATTGGAAAATCAAAAATTCTTGAAATTTTCAGATTTTCCGTCATTTTCAGCCATTTTTGGACCATTTCAGCTCGTTTTCAGTCGATTTACATCCAAATTTCAAAAATTTTCAGCGTTTTTAGCCTATTTCAAGCTATTTTCAACCTATTCTAAGCCGAATTTCAGAGTAGTTTCAGTCGATTTTCAGCCAAATTTTATCCATATTTTTGGTAAATTTAGCTCGATTTTCAGTGCCGATTTTCAGCCAAATGTAATCCATTTTTTTTTGGTCAATTTTCAGCAACATTTCGGAGATCGTCAGAGATTCTTAGCTATTTTTAGCCGGTTTTTGACTATTTTCAGTCGATTTTTGGGTCATTTTTCAGCCAAATTTTTTGCCGATTTCAGCTCATTTTTAGACGATTTTCAGAAAAATTTCGACGAATTTCAGCTTTATGATTATTTTCAGCGGTTTTTGAAAACTATTTTCAGCTTTTTTCAGTCGATTTTTGGTTCATTTCTAGCCATTTTTTTTGTCTATTTTCAGTTATTTTTGGGTCGATTTTCAGCTAAATTTCAGCAATTTTCAGCCATCTAATGACCATTTTCGGCGGATTTCAGCCCATTTTACACGATTTTCAGCCAAGTTTCGAAGCAAATGCTCACCTTAATCGGTCCCAACGAGACTCTCATTCCCTCACACGCGAACACCCATCTCTGAATCAAATGCGGCGAGTTCTCCAACATATTCGGCCATACATAATTGAGCAAATGGATAAGAGCATCCTCACAACCGAAACCATAAACTCCGATTGCCAAATGAGCAACAGCGTCGACGGCGATCTGACGATGCACCTGATCCCTCTCCATGAGGGCGTCGATGAGCAATGGAACCACTGCGTAGATGTAGTCTTTGGCCATTTCTCCAATGTATTCGAACATGAAGCTCAGCGCTTTTAGAACTCCATTCTGGACGTTGATCTCTGGGACACGGTACTCGTTCATGATTGCTGGAAGTACTGTGAATGGGGCGCACGTCTCAGAGACGATAGCGATGGCCACGGTGGTGCACACACGGAGTTGACGTTCTTGGACCTGGAAAATAGGCATTTTTTGGGATTAAATAGGGGGTTGTTGAGGTCAAAAATTGCAATTTCAGTATTTGAAAAATTTTCAGAATTTATAGACTATTTTAGGTCATTTTTATATCATTTTCAGGCGATTCCGGGTCATTTTTAGGCTAGTTTTGGCCATTTTGGACCATTTCTAGGCTATGTTAGACTATTTTTAGATCATTCTGGGACTATTTTTTGTTTTAAAATGGTCTAAAAGTGACCAAAAATGATCCAAATGGCTGGAAAACGGCCGAGAAAAATGATCCAAAATGGCTTAAAAAATAGTCCAGAGACCATTTGCAGCTATATTTGGACCATTTTTGGGTCATTTTAGGTCATATTTTTCAGCCGATTTCAGACCCTTTTGGACCATATCAACGTATTATTGGACTATTTTTAGGCTATTTAGGACCATTTCTAGACCATGTTAGACTATTTTTAGGCTATTTCAGGTCATTTTTAGGTCATTTTGGGCTACTTTTAGGTCATGTTTAGGCTAGTTTAGGTCATTTTGGACTATTTTTGGACTATTTGGGACCCCTTTGGGCCATTTTAAAGCCATATTGGACTATTTGTAAGCCATTTCGGACAATTTTAGACCATTTTCAGCTAATTTCAGGCCATTTTAGGACAGTTTTGGCGATTTTTTTGACTATTTTCAGCCGATTTACAGCTCTTTTGGACCATTTTAAGGTTATATTGGACTATTTTAGACTTTTTTTTTGACAATTTTTAAGCCATTTTGAATCATTTTCAGACAATTTCAGGTTATTTTGGCCCGATTCTAGGACAGTTTTGGCTGTTTTGGACTATTTTTCAGGCCATTGTTAGGCTATTTTCAGCCAATTTATAAACCTTTTCAGACCATTTTGGTCCATTTTGTACCATTTTCCGACCAATTTAGAGCATTTTCGACTACTTTAGATAATTTTCAGCTAATTTCAGCCAATTTCTACACCATTTTGGACTAGTTCAACTTTTAGAATGATCTAAAATAGCCGAAAATGACATAAAAATGGACGAAAATAGCCTGAAACCGGTCTGAAAACGATCTAAAAGTAGTATTTCGTCTAGACCATTTTCCGGCCGTTTGGACTATTTCAAAGCCGTTTTTAGGCCTATTTGGACCAATTTAAAGCTATTTTGGGCTATTTTAGGCCCATTTTCAGGCTATTTTAGACGCGTTTTTGCCTATTTCAAGACCCCTCTTCTACCTTCAAATTATTGAGCAACGTGGCGAGCACATCATGCGGTCCAATCGCCTTCGCAATGAAGCCAAACGTATTGATGGCAGCTCTTCTGATGGACTTCTTGTGAGCCTTGAGCAGCTCCAACAACTCGAAACAGATTCTCATCCATTCTCTGGCCGACACGAATTCCGATCCTCTGTCAGCGATGGCTCCAACCAGATCGATACAATTCTCCTGCACTTTCTCATGCCGATTCTTGAGGATCGGAGTGAGTCTAGGGAGCAGATCCTTGATTGGTGGTGTCATTTTAGTCATTCCAATCACGTTGCAAATGGCTTTCAGGGCTCCGAGAATCGAGCCGAGCACTTCTGGATACTCTTCTCCCAGATATTCGTAGAGAACGACTCCCATGTGTCCCATCATCTTCTCCTCTTCACACATATGCATTACGGGGGCGATACGGGCGATGAGGTCGGCCGCTTGTTGACGGACCTGGAAAAATAGATAGTTTGCATACTTGTAACGGGCCGGGCCAGGCCGGGCTTTTTCCGGAATTTCGGAAACCCGGCCCGGCGGGCCCGTCATTTCACTAGTTTCGAAATTTTCAAAAAATCACATAAGGGGGGACCCTTATGTGATTTTTTTCGAGTTTTCCGATCTTTTTTGTTCAGACAGACAAACAATCCAAAATACGAAAAAAAAATAGAAAAAATTATATTGAGAGCTCAAAATTTGGCTCAAAAATACAGCATTTTTGACACCGGGCCTTGAAAATTTCCTCAGGCCCGGCCCGGAATTTTACAAGTATGATATTTTGGTTTATTTTCAGTCAAATCTTGTCATTTTTAGGTGATTTCAGACCATTTTCAGACGGTTTTCAGCTAATAAAAAAAAGCTGAAAACTCCCTTTTTTGGTCAATTTCAGCCTGAAAAAATTTCAAGATTTGGCTGAAAATGGCTGAAAATGACTGGAAAAGGACATGAATCCGAAATTTTCTGAATCTCGAATTTTCAGAATTTTGTCTCAAATCTGAGAATTCAAGAATCTCAAAATTTCATTTTCGAGATTTTAGACGTTCCGCTGAAAATAGACTGTGACCTGTTAAAATTGGCTGAAATTGACCAAAAAAGCAGATTTGGCTGAAAATTGACTAGAAATGAGCCAAAAATTGTTGAACTATTCGAAATTTGGCTGAAAATCGACTAGAATTAAGCTGAAATCGGTCAAAAACTGAACCATTTTTTGGGATGTCGATTTCATCACATTTTCAGTCGATTTTCAGCCAAATTTCAGAGAGTTACAGAAATTTTTAGCGCTATTATGGCTATTTTTGGCTTTTTTCTATGATTTTATGACTATTTTAATCCAAATTTCGCCTTTTTTTCAGGCTGGAATCAGCCAAAAAAGAGGAAACTTTCAGCTAATTTAGCATGTTTTCAGTAATCTGGAAAAACTGAAAATCTGAAAATTCGAGTATTCCGAAGATAGGAAATTCTAAAAATTCGAGATTTCGAGATTCTGAAAATTCAGAAATTTCAGCCCGAAATTTTCAGCTATTTTTCCGTTTTTAAGTCAATTTCAGTCTAAATTTTCACCAATTTTCTGGACCATTTTCAGCCGATTTTCAGTCAATTTCCAACCAAATTTTGACCAATTTTGAGAAAACCTCAGAAAATTTAGCTGAAAAGCGACTGAAAGCGAGCTAAAATCGATGAAAAATTGGTCAAAATTTGGCTGAAAATGGCTGAAAATGTGAGATTTCAGGGAATACACCACTGAAATTCGTTTTTCGTCTGTTTTCACCCGTTTTTAGCCGAATTTTCAGCATTTTTTTTACTATTTTTAGAAAAAAATAACTAACCTTCGCCGATTTGTTATTCAATCTCCACAGAATGGTACCGCAAATCTGAGGGATATATGCCTTGGCTCTTCTGCCCAAACTCGAGCAAATCGTTCCAAATCCATCAAGCATGACAGAATCCTCCTGAGTTTGCTCCTGGAATGCGTAGAGGAGCCCATCAATGAGCTGTTCTTCGAGCCGAGCATCAATATCTGTGGCTCCTTGCAACGCCACGATATTCTCAATCGTCTCCATGACCATTTTCCGGTATTGCTCATTCTCATCCTTCAAATCGTCCACAATTCTCGCGATCATCTCCACACATCCGACTTTTTGAGCGATTTCGACAGTGGTGTCCACCAACTGTCGATAGTTTCTCCGATCCATTGCCATTCGTTGATTCCAGAAGGCTTTGAAGAAGCTTGGAAGCACCTGAAAATTAATTAGGCTATTTCAGGCAGGTTTTAGGCAAATCTAGGCCAATTTTGAGCTATTCTAGGCCATTTTAAACCAATAAGGAGCTTTTCTAGATCAAAATAACCCTTAAAATCCGTTCTAAAACGCCTAAAAATCTATAAAACATCGAAAAATCAATGAAAATCGAGATTTTTCAAAATTTTGCTCGGGTGGCCGAGTGGGATTTTGGGCAAATTTTTGGAAAATCAACACCAGGGTTCGATTCCACCGGGTGGCAAACTTTTTTTTCTTTTGTTTATAGCAAGAATTCGGTGCTTTTAGATGTTTCTAGGCTATTTTAGGTCAATTTTCAGCTATTTCAGGCGGCTTTAGGCTATTTTAGGCCCCTAATAGGCCATTTTTAGGTCAATTCTGGGTAATTCAAGTCGATTTTCAGCTATTTTTAGGCTATTTTAGGCCAATTTTGACGGTTTAAAAACCGATTTTTTCAAAGTAAGTTCTATACCTCATCGCGAATATAACTCGGCTCGACACCATCTGTCGCGCAGCACTGTTTCACCACTTTCAGCACGATTTTCTTCATTTCCTCATCGGGCGACGCGAATTCTCGAATCAAAATCAACATGACTTCACGGGTATAGTAGGAGGCGTACTCGGCGTCCATCAACGGAATCAGGTAGCCAATGGCCTTGAGAAACGCGGCGAGACCCTTTCCACGATGCATTCGGATTCCTTTCCACAGAGGTTTGAGCACAGAGTCGAAGGCTTCGATTCCGTATGGAGCGGATGCTTCGGCGAGCGCCGCCAAGCAGAGAGCAGTGATTGTACGGACCTGGAATATCATTTTTAGGCGATTTTAGACCGATTTCCTAGCTTTTTCGGCTCGATTTCAGGCTAATTCGCGTTTAAAAACCTTTAGAATCATCTCTAAAACCCCTAAAAACCTATAAAACTTCAAAAAATTGACGAAAATCGCAACTTTTCAAAAATGTGCTCAGGTGGCCTAGTGGGATTTTGGACAAATTTTCGGAAAATCAACACCAGGGTTCGATTCCACCGGCTAGCAAACTTTTTTTGCTTTCATTTTTAGCTAGAATATAGGGGTTCTAGATGGTTCCATGCTATTTTAGACCATTTTTAGGCTGTTTTAGGCCCTTTTAGGCTGATTTTTCAGGCCGATTCTAGGCCAATTGGAGTTGAGGCTATTTTAGGCCGACTTTAATCCATTTTTGACTAATTTTGGGGGCATTTTCCAAGCAAAATTCAAGGCATTTCAGGCCACTCTAGACCATTCTAGGCCGTTTTAGGCCCCGCCAGACCGATTTCAGGATGTTCTAGGCCGAATTTCAAGCTATTTAGGCTCTATTCTAGGCTTTTTACACTATTCTAGACTGATTTAGGCGTATCTAGGTCGAAAAGACCAATTTTTAGGCGTTTTTTTCAATTAGTTTGAGGCCTAGGCTACACTAATTTTAGGCTAAAATAGATCTTTTTCAGGCTCTCTTGTGTCAGGCTTTAGGCTGGTCCAGTCCATTTTTCAAGCCTTTTTTAGTGAATTCTATGCGATTTTAAGCCGAATTCAAGCTGTTTTAGCTCAATTTAGGCCTGAGTAGGCCTATTTTCAGGCCAATCTGAGTCAATTTAAGGCTCTTCTAGGCCAATCTTGAGATAATTTTGGCTATTATTGGCTATTTCAGGCGATTCTGAGCAGATTTCTAGGTTATTTCAGGTCAATTTCAGGCTATCCAGGCCCATTTTCAAGCGATTTTAGGCTATTCAGGCAATTCTCAGTTAATTTTTAGGCTATTTTAGGTCAATTTTAGGCCTGTTCAGGCCAATTTTCACAGATTTTCAGACCAAAAACTTGCTCACCTTTTGTTGCTCATCATCCAAACCATCCTTCACAATCTCCACCAACGCCTTCAGATGCGGCAAAACGGCGCATCCCATCAGAATCGCCATCTGCTGAACAATCTTGATTCCGGTGTGACGTGCTTGCCACGACTTCTTACTCTTACAGACGGCTTTGAGGAATGGGAGAAGTGCTGGAATACCCAGAGCGGAGGCGACGACGGCGAACGCACGAGCCGTGGTGTTACGGACGTATCTGGAAGAAGAAATATGGGATTTTGGGGGTTTCCAGGCAAATTTTGAGCTATTTCAGACTATTCTAGACTAATTCGATGTCAATTTAGACCATTTTTAAGTTTGTTTTAATTAGGCTTTTCAGAGCAAAATAACGCGGAAAAGCACTTATAAAATCCCTAAAAACCTATAAAACCTTCAAAAAACCAAAAAATCGAAATTTTTCAAAATGCTGCTCGGGTGGCCTAGTGGGATTTTGGGCAAATTTTTGGAAAATCAACACCCGGGTTCGATTCCACCGGGTGTAAAACTTTTTTTCTTTTGTTTAGGGCAAGAATTCGGGGATTTTAGAGGGTTCTAGGCCATTTTAGGCTATTTTAGGATGTTTTAGGTCACGTTTAGGCCCCGCATAGGTCATTTTTAGGCTATTCTAGGCCATTCCAGGTCAATTTCAGGCTTTTCCAGGCCATTTCTAGACCATTCTAGATCAATTTTGCAAGTTTTAAAGTCAATTATAGGTTATTCTGGGCCCAATTCGGAAGGTTTTCAAGTCAATTCTGGGTCGATTTTCATGTTTTCTGAGTCAATTTTAGGCTCATTTTAGTCAATTTTGAGATTTTTTAGGCTTTTAAAGGTTAATTTTAGTCCCCTCATAGGCCATTTTAGGCCATTCTGGGTCAATTTTGAAGGTTTTAAAGTCAGTTATAGGTAATTCTGGGTCGATTTTCACGTTTTCTGAGTCAATTCTAGGCTAATTTAGGCTAACTTAGACCGTTTCAAGACTATTTTCTAGGCTATCCTAGGCCATTGTAGATCAATTTTCAGGCCCTTTCAGGCCATTCTAGGCCAATTTTGAAGGTTTTAAAGTCAGTTATAGGAAATTCTGAGTCAATTTTAAAGACTTTCCGGGTCAATTCTAGACTATTTCATGTCTATTTTGAGCTATTTCAGACTAATTTCAAGGCAGTTTGGACCAATTTTAGGCTTTTTCAGGCTTTTTGAGGCTAATTTTAGGCTCCCATATGCTATTTTAGGCCATTCTAGATCAATTTTGAAGGTTTTCCTGCCAATTCTAGGCAATTCTGGAACGATTTTCACGTTTTCCGTGTCAATTCTGAGCCATTTTAGGCTTTTTGAGACTAATTTTAGGCCCCTTATAGGCCATTTTAGGCAAATTTCGAAGGTTTTCCTGTCCATTCTAAGCAATTCTGGGTCGATTTTCACGTTTTCTGGGTCAATTCTAGGCAATTTTAAGTCAATTTTGAGCTATTTTAGACTAATTTCAAGGCAGTTTAGACCATTTTAAGGCTA